AGTCAATCCATGCTTGCCGTGAGGACGTTGAAGAGCATTTGGAGATGTCGGTGGCTATGCAGAAGGACCAAGTTACTTGTCTTCAATGCCCTGATCCTGCAATTTTGCTTTATGGAAGCAAAACCTGGATGCTGTCTAGCGCCTTGGAGTCTCGTCTCGATGCCTTTTGTAACAAGACTCTTCACAGGATCATGCGGTATAGTTGGCAGGGCCATGTGTCCAACCGACGGCTTCGCCGTGAGACTGGCATGGGATCTGTTACTTGCATCCCACGGGATCGCCTACTCAGGCTATATGGGCACTTAGCTCGTTTCCCTGTGGATGAACATGCCCACCAGGATGTCTCTCCCTCACGGCTGGAAGCAAAGGGTGGATGCGGTCATGCGCCCCCCTTGGCGTTAACCCCTTAATGATGATGATGATAATTATAATTATTTCTTATCGTATTTTAACATCTTTGTGTTACCGCTTATCTATCACTGCTGTTCTTATTTCTGTTGGCTATTGCAGTCATTATTGTTAATATCATTAGTAGTAATGATAATATAATCATCACTCACCTATTATTATTATCATCACACGTTATCATAATCACAAATCGTCTCTCATTGTCATCAGACTTGTTTTCATCATTAACAATAACATTGTAATTACTGCTGAATCGCATTCATTATTACATATGTTATTCTGTCATAATTTTCCCCATGACATGCAAGCATATTTTTTCTTTCTTTTTTTTACATACATGTATGACGAAGTTATTATACAGTATATATATATATATATATATATATATATATATATATATATATATATATATATATATATATATACATATATATATATATATATATATATATATATATATATATATATGAATATGTGTGTGTGTTATGTGTGCGTGTGTATGTGTGTGTGTGTGTGTGTGTGTGTGTGTGTGTGTGTGTGTGTGTGTGTTTGTATGTGTTTGGGCGTATAAATTCCAACCACACACGAACAAAACTGTTTCCCCGATGGTAGCGCCTGATATTCTGGTATTATCCCGCTTGGATAATATTAGGTGTGAGGAACCGCTCGAAAAAAATACTTTTACCTTCATTTCCACGCGCAGAGGACCTTGAGTGCTGAAATAAAATGAATTTCCAATTTTTTGTTGTTGTCTCTGTGTCTCTCTGCCACGCTGTCTGGCTGGCTCTTCTTCTGTGGATCGTGTATTTTCTCTTTGTCTCGCCTCTGCTCGTTCTTTCTCCGACTCCCTACCCTACCCACCTCTCGCTCGCTCACTATCTCTCTGCGACTCAGTACCTCACTAATCTTAATCTCGATATTTGTTTATTCAAGTATTTCGAATTTCATCACGGCTATTGAAGGAAGTGGTCATGCTTGCTATAACAAGATGACAATGGCATTTCGAAATCAGGAATGAATCCGTGTGGTCAGTGAATCCAGCAAGGGGTGCCACGTTGCTTTGAGTTGCCGGTTAGGGGTTTCAACAAATTCTTTATCAATCCGTCTTTATTACTATCTACCGTTGTTTTATTTTCTCGAAACTCTGAAATAAAAAAGATGTATATATCTGTAAAGAATCCCTCGATATGATTTAGCTCTTCTTTATTGTTGCAGCAGTGTCCCCTTGCATGATAAGCATGTGGATTTATCATTGTCGAAAATGTCGAAACTGGTCACCCCCGTTCCCGCCAGTCACGCCAACGGTATATATAGAGTCTTTTCGAATCTGCAGTGCCTGTCTTCACCCATCTCAACACTCACAAGGTAAGCCTATGGGAGGTGATTGCTGTAGAGGTTGCCAGTCTTTTCCTCGTCGAAGAAACTGAAATGAAAATCAAATATCACATTCTCCCCTGATAACAGTCTCGCCTCGTTGAATTTTCTTTGATTTTATAAAGCTGATGAAATTAGAACTCCATGTTGATTGTTTGCAGTCGATGGACATTATTTCAACATTGTTTCTGATTATCGGAAAAAAATAATAATAAATAAACAAAACAGACGAGTAAAGAAGCTCAGTCAGTCCGGTCTTCCGCGCTTGACCTCGACAGTGACCTCACGAAGGTGACTCTGAAAACAAAACTGGCTTTGTGGTCTTCGCTAAGGAGACTTCAACGCATCTTAAGTAGCTATATTTCCTCTGTCTCTCACTCTTTCTCTCTTTCTCTCTCTCTCTCTCTCTCTCTCTCTCTCTCTCTCTCTCTCTCTCTCTCTCTCTCTCTCTCTCTCTCTCTCTCTCTCTCTCTCTCTCTCTCTCTCTCTCTCTCTCTCTCTCTCTGTCTCTCTCTCTCTGTCTCTCTCTCTCTCTCTTCTCTCTCTCTCTCTCTCTCTCTCTCTCTCTCTCTATCTATCTATCTATCTATCTATCTATCTATCTCTATCTCTCTCTCACTCTCTCACTCACACTCTCTCTTTCTCTCTCTCTCGCTCTCTTTCTCTTTCTGTTTCTCTTTCTTTCTATTTTCCTATTAAGTGTTGCATGAATTTAGTATTTCTCCTGTTTATTTTTTTCTATTTGTGTGCAGTTTCAAATTTTCAGTGTTATCATTATCTTTGTTATCATCATCATTAGCATTATTATCATCATTAGCATTATCACTACTATCATCATCATCATTTAACATTTTCATCCTCGTCATCATCATCGTCATGTCATTATTATCATTATTATTATTATTATCATCATCGTTATTATCAATATCATGATTTTTTATCATCATCATCATTATTAGTATCATAATCATTATTATCATTGTTGTCACTATTATCGTTATTGTTTTACTTCCCTCTCTGTTTTTGTTCTAAGAACACTACACTACACTACTGTTAATACTGCACCATAATTAACACCGCCCTTGTCGTTATGGTCGTTATTAGTATCTTTACTACAGTTACCATTATCATTTTATTGTATTCTTACTACTTTTCCTTTCTGCGGCTGTTATTACTGTCAATCTTACTACTACTCTTTTGATAAGTATGATGGTATTTAGTTTGATGTTAGCGCGTATATATCAGCATTGTTACTGTTAGACCTAGTGTTGCTACTACTGCAAAGGATTTATTATCACTACCGTAACGAATACTACTACTGTTACTATTGTTGGAACCATCCCATAAGAATATTATTTTCCAAAGCTTCTATTATTATTAAGATCATCGTCTTTGCTATCATAAAACTGTTCTTGTTGCTATTAAGGAACCTATTAACTATGCAGCTTGTCCCTTTTTTTGTTATTATTGCCGATCACTATCAATTTCCAAAGCCTTTTCCCGCGCACGCTTTCCTTTCGCGGAGGTCACAGAATATTCTATAGAAAGTAAAATTATTTGGCTGCATTGAAGTAAAAAACGGGAGCGAAAGAATACGTAAAAACAAGACAAACGAGTAACTTTCTATTGCATACCGTCTCCTCCCCTTCCTCTTTCTCCTCATCTTTCTCTTTCTTTTCCTCTTCTTCTTTCTCCTTCTCCTCCTACTCCTCCTCTCCCTCTTTCTGCTCCTCATCTTCTTCTTCTTCTTCCTCCTCCTCCTCCTCCTCCTGCTCCTCCTCCCCTCCTCTCCCTCCCTACCGTTCTGCCATTCTCCCCTACTCCCTTTCCTTTCTCCTCCTTTCTCTTTCTCCTCTTCCTTTCAGTTTCCCCTTCTCCGTTTCCCCCTCCTCCTCTTCCCCTCCTCCCCCTTTCTCCCTCCTCTCCTCCGATTCCTCACCCACCCCCCCCCTCCGGCTCCCCCGTGAGATCCCGTTTTATGAACCTGCTTTTGCCGAGTAACTTTTAGTTATTTACTTTTTTTTCAAGAGAAATAGCAAAGAACTACAATCTACTGTTTGGGTGACGAGAAACTGGGAAGATGAAATGTGAAATAATGCAGATAAGACAGTGATGATAAGTTATCGGAGACTTGTTGCTTAAAGCCTTTGTTTAAGTAGTTAAGAAAAATTGGCAATGACTTCCCCTCCCCCCTCCCCTTCGTAGTCTTATCATTATCATCATTCCCCTTTCAATAGCTTGCACCATCATTTGCACCATCGCCACTCGCTCTATGCAGATGTCATCACTATCAGTAGCGTCCCGGGTTATCTTAAATGTCATCACACTCGTAAACAAAGACACTCACAAAAAATGTTTTAATGTATATACTCGATGGGGAGAAATGGGGCGGGAGGGGGGAGGGGAGAGGGAGAAGGAGGTAGTGGGGGATGAGGGGAGAAGGATAAATAGGGGGAAAGAGAGGGAGAAGACGAAAGGCAAACGGGGGAGAGGAAGGAGAGGTGTGAAGATGGAGGGAGGGAAAGTGCGGAGAAAGGAGGGAAGAAGAGGAATAAGTGAGAGAGAGAGAGAGAGAGAGAGAGAGAGAGAGAGAGAGAGAGAGAGAGAGAGAGATAAAAACAGAACGGGGGGAGGATGAGAGAGGAAGAATGGTAGAAGGAGAACGGATGAGCAAAGAAAGAGAAGAGGCCATATAAGTCAGGAAACAGAGAAGAAGGGGAGAAAAGGGAATAGCGGGAAGAGAAGGGGAAGAGAAAGCGATAGTAGACTGCATGAGGTGAAGAAAAAGAGACAGAATAAAATTAAAGAAAAAAACGCAAAGATGAGGAGAAAGGGAAAGGGAAACAAACGAGAATGAGGAGAGAGAGAGAGAAGGGAGAAGGGAGAGCCAAAAGAGAGAGAAGAGTGGGAGAAAAATAGAGCGAGAGAGAGAGAGAGAGGTTTAATATGATTTCATTTGTTACAACGGATATTCTTGGTGTGACAGTGTCTTTTTCATTTTGCTTCGAAGTTATCCCCTGTGTGCAAGGAGTGGCCGGGGTTACCATCCACTGGCGGCGAGGGATTCGAACGCAGGTCAGCAAGATTGCTAGACGAAATCGCTACCGCTGCACCACACAGCACAGAGAGAGAGAGAGAGAGAAAGAGAAAGAGAAAGAGAAAGAGAAAGAGAAAGAGAAAGAGAAAGAGAAAGAGAAAGAGAAAGAGAACAGAGAAAT